ATATATATGTATATATATATATATACATGCCTATATATATTTCAATTATAGCTTTCAATTATCGATCATCTTAATTGTTTTTTTCAGAATAATGGAAATGCAACCGATTTCGATCGAAAAGCGGCATGCTCGCCGTTTTCCTTACAACAGCGCAATCAGGATGAAGCAGAGTGAAGAAGAGTTTTCATGTCACTTAACCTGGAAGGAATTAAAACACATTGAGATCAACAACTTTAAAACCAAGATTCAATTATTATCAGAGAGAAACGTCAGCTTTGATCAGCTTCCAACATATTATTTGAGTATAAAAAACCTGTTGGCATTCGTTCTTTACACTGCAGGACAGACAGATGACAGTATTAGAGTTTTAGAAGAAGTCCTAAGACATGATCCTGGAAACTACAATGCAATTTCTAATTTGGCGGTAATATATTTCCGGCAATCGAAAGTTAACAAATACAAAGAATACAGAGATGCATTGAAGAGAATAATGCAAATCAATAACACTAACTCAAAGATTAGAGCAATGGTGGATAAAGCACATGCAATTCGACATTTTGAGCAGGATGAACGGAACTTCACATACATGGACATATTGGTCAGGGTTGGGGAATTGGCAGAGAGTACCAGCACACCAGAAAGGGCAGAATGGTTTTTTGACTACGCATTGGCGTTGTTCAGGAAAGACGCTCAACTAACGTCAACCGGCGCTAAATCAAGTGAAACACACATGTGCTTTAAGAATGCTGTTTCTTACTTTAACAAAGTCATTCATATCACAAATGGATCGCTAACCTACAAGGCTCTGTCTTGGATATTCATCAGCATACTACTGCGTCACGAGAAGGGACGAGCTCTGACAGATATTTTGGCAGACGACGATGATATGCGATACATGAGTGCATGTGACTGCCTCGAACAAGCGTTGAAAGTTAATCCGTTTGATAGAGTAGTTCAGCGCCGAGCTGGATCTGAACATATTCGAATGAAGAGATACAGTGAAGCCCTTTGTCTTCTTGACGATTCTTTGAAACAAGAGGAATCTTGGTTTGCCTATCGTTATCGCGGATTATTGAGGTTAGAGATATATGAAGACAATGAATATGCCCCGCAATATGTAAATAAGAAAGAACTTCTTCTGGCGGCAAAGAGTGATTTTGAATGTGCTATAATACTGAAAGAGGTACATGCAGATCACTCGGACTTAGGCTACATACATTATCTGCTTGGTGACTACAACACCGCAATAAATCATTTTGTAGCTGCCGTGAGCTGTACGCAAAATGATAACTTCGACCCGTCCATCACACACTACCGATGGGCTGAATGTCTTCGTGCAATTGGTGAACCCGAAGGCGCATTGCAACAACTTCAGTCGCAGAAGCAAACGCGTGATCAATTAAATCGCAACAATTTGACGCTGGAAGCGGCATTTTTATCTTCAGACCACGAGCAATGTAATGGTGTAGATTGCAATATTTCACAGTTTAAATACTGCCAAAATTATGTTCCCGGTTACGTCAACATCCTTTCCGATATATCACTTCCTTCACCACCAGTTTCTTGCCAAAACAAAGCAATTAACAAAAAGTATAAATATGACTTCTATGTCAGTTTTTGTCATGCGG